AGGCTACTTGGGAAGCTGATGCTGGAGGATGACAAATTTGGAGGCCTGCCTCAGGAGCTTATCTCAAAATAAAAAGGACTAAGGATGTAGTCCTTAAAGAACCCCTGGGTTCAATCCCCAGTATGGAAAAAAAAATTGCTAAACAAACAAATATCGTGTAGAAATCCATGATCCAAGAGAGTTGTCATTTGGGGATGGGAACTTTTTCCTCTCCTTTTGTCTCAAATTTAAATTTTGTGTAAGAAGTTATATTCATGTAAGTTTTAAATTTTTTTTTTCATGAAGAGAAAGGGGGTAATGACTTTGGCTAAAGAATTCAGGTAGTTGTTGGCAAGCTGTTTGTTGAGAAGGGAATACTGGCATTGGGTGGGGAGGCACGGGTCTGGCTGCACGCTCCCCTATTCAGGCACTCTGTCCAGCCATGCAGACAACACGAAGGAAGGACATTTAAGGTTTCATGCACCATCTTGATATCCCAGCTTTCTGCCACCCTTTGTCAGCTCCTTAGGCTAGAGGTCCCTGGGCATGCTGCAAGAACCATCCACTTCACTGACTGCTAAAGAGCTGGAGCCCCTGGAAGATTTAACCCTCCTCTGGACACTGCTTAGGGGAGATAGAGCAAATACCATCCTAAAAACCAATTTCGAATCCGTTTCCTCCTGTGTGTTCCTGAGGGAAGAGAAGAGTCAGCACTTTGCCAGGGCTGGGTAAAATCAACAGTAGCTTATTGTGCAAACCATGACAGCAGCCAGTAGTGCCCTCTTTGGTCCTTGACTTGCTGACCAGTGGCTGCTCCTGAGTGTCTGAGCTCTTCTCAGAACCAAAGCAGCATACTCATGGCTGAGGAGAATCAGCACTGACGAATCCCACCCGCATTTCCCCTTTCATGCTGCCTGCCTGCCTGGAGCCACATGTGGCTGGCAATATATAATTGGAGGCCCTTCAGACAGCTGTTGGTGATAGTAGGCAGGGCTCTTCATCTTGTCGGGTTGTCTGTTCTGCACTGTTCGTGAGGTCTAGTAAATGAAAACCGAATCACTGATGAGAAGTGAAATTCTGGAAGAATTAGTGGATGGAGGTCCAGTAAGATGTTAAGCCCTGTTGGGCTTATTTGTGATGTAGAAAAAGAGGACAGCCCCAGTCTTCTCCATGTGTTTCAGCTTTCCAAGCCCCAGTGGAATTCATTATTTGACTTTTCTGCCCCCAAGTGGGGAATGCTGAGCACCCAAGAGTCTGTGAGTAGAATATTCTCCAGGCGACCGAAGGACTGATGGCTGCTCCTCATCTCCGGGGAAGATGCTCATTGGCTCCAACTTGCCACTCTGAAAGCAATAAAGAGATGTGGTCAGGCTCCCACTGTGACCCTCCAGGAACAAGTCAGGGGCCTCCACCTGCTAATCAGTGAAAGTTCTTCCTTGCCGAAGGGATAACATCTCTAAAAAGACCCAAGAGCAAGGGATTTCTTTTGTTGTTTTGTTTTTCCCACATGGAAGAAAGTCTGTCGTTGACTATTTTCTTTTCCTGTGACCCTTTTTAAAAAGCAGCTTGAGTTGCAACAGCCCTGCTGAAATTTCATACGGCCTTTTGCTTCAAGGACTTTGAAACTAGGATTGTTGATTTTTCCCTTTTCCTGCCAGTCCCGTGTCCTGTCTCCCTTGTGTTTTATGTTTACTGTCTAGATGACTTTAAATACAGAAGCTCTTGGTTTGGAAGCCCTTTTGACTTCCCTGTGGCCTGAACTATAGGTATGTTTTCTTTCTGAAAACAAGTACACACAATTTGGAGCTGAAGAATGGCTTTGTTGTCACCAGAGGGGGAACCTCCAGGAGCCCCCAAAATGCCACAACCCCTGCTGTGTCGAAACATCCCATGTCTCCAACAGACAGACCTCTGTGTTACAGAGGCACTGTCCAGGATTTGAGTGTCTGTTTGTTATCCAAAGGGTATAAAAGGGAAATCAAACATTCTTTCATATCATTATAAGCCTTGTGCAAACACAGCCCCATGGACAAAGGCCTTTCCCCAGCCTGTAACAAGGAACTGTTTGTCCTGGCTGCCTGTCTTTAGCAGTTGGAGCAGGGCTCAGCCCAGAATAGTGTAATGTGCTCTGCTGTGATTTTGCTTTCTTGGGCCAAAATTTTACAGGTGTCATGGGACATGGTTCACCATGTGGAAGTCCAATCAGAGCACCCATTGGGAGCCCTTAGTAAATGCCACATTGAGCTGGCTCAGAGGTAGGAAGTAAACTGACAAGGAAATTGCACCCAACTACAGAGAAGTCAAATGATCATTTAGGGTGGTTGCCTTTGTGCATGAGGATTAACTAACCACCGATGATGCCAGGATCAGGAATCAGATCTGCCAGTATCTGATGCAACCAAAGAAAAGGCTTGAGCTTAGGCTAGAGTAGCTTCTTCACCTTCAGTCCCTTGAAAGACACCACATTAACACAATAGCATCTGAATAGTAATGAGGGCTTGATTCCTTTACCGTAAATATTTCGATTCATTAAACCCAGGCTTGTGTGTTTTTCTGGCTGCTCAGATTGAGTCTTCTAGAGCTGTGCTGTCCAGAACAGTAGCCACACCCTGCATGTGGCTAGAGAGCTCCTGAAAGGTGGCCAGTCTGAACTGTGATGTGCTAGAATGATAAAATGTATACACATATATGTATGTATATGCTTTGAGTGTTTGAATTTTTTTTAATGTTAAAGATTTCTTATAATTTCTGAATTAATTACATGTCAGAAATATTCCAGCTCTGTTTGACTAAATCATATTATTAAAATTAATTTCACCTATTTATTTTTACTTCCTTTAATGTGGCTACTGGAAAATTTAAAATCACCTATGTGGCTGCTATTCCTGTTACATAGCCCTGGTCTAGCAAGTGAATGAAGTGTAGGTTTGTAGTGCCATCTGCTGGCCCATCCAAAGCAGACACGAAAGTATGCAAAAACTCAGCCATCTGAGCTGGTAACATTGTGTTTCCTGGACAAGCAGTTTGGAGCCTTCCTTTCTTTACCAGGAGTTCCTGAAACAGGACCAGAATTTAACCCAGAAATAACTGAATTGTCAATAAGAGCCTTAGAAAGAGTGACAAACCGCTCAAAGGTGCAGGACTGTGTTCTTCACCTCATGGGTGCTCAGAAGGCCCTGGAGACAGAGAACTTTGGTTCACTTCTCACCTCTGCAATAGAGGCTCTTACATTTTTGCATTTTCATTGTTTGTTATTCTCTTCCTTAGAAACATTTCAGCCAGCCAGCTGCAGTGGTGCATGCTGGTAATCTCAGTAACTCATGAGGGTAAGGCAGGAAGATCACAAGTTCTAGGCCAGCTTGGGCAATTTAGCAAGACTCTCAAAATACAATAAAAAGGACTGGCAGTGTATCTCAGTGGTAAAGCACCTCTGAGTTCAATCCCCAGTATCGCAAAAAAAAAAAAAATTTTAAATTTTAAAAAGAGAGAGAGAGAAAGAAAGAGAGAGAAAATAAAAAATATTTCAAACCACCTCAGGATTAGAGTCAAGCATTTAACCATACAGGGAAAGCACATCTATCCCTCAAGCATCTTCTCTTTAGCTAATGCTTATTTACCTTGACTTGGCAAGAGTTTGAAAGTAAGAATCTTATGGACAAAAGTACCTACATTGATTATATATTGCTGTGTAATAAGTCATCCACAAATTTAATGGTTTATACAATGATCCTTTAATATCTCTCAGAGTTTCTGGGAGTCAGGAATTCAGGAGTGGCCCATGAGCAATACTGACTGAGGATTTCTCATGGGGTTGAAGTGGGTGTTCATCTGAAGGTTTGAGTGGGGCTAGAGAATCCATTTCTTGGTAGCCCATTTACATGACTGTTGAGGTGAGGCTGGCTGTTGGCTGGAGATGTTGGCTCATCTCCACATGGGCTTGTCCACAGAGCTGCTTGAGCATTCTTATGACATGGCAGCTGGTTTCCTCCAGAACAAGTAGTCTAAAAGGGCTAAGGAGAAACTGCATGCCTTTCTGGCCCCGGAAATCCAGTGAATTCTGTTGATATGGCAGGAATATGCCTCACACTCTTGATAGAGGAATGAAAACATTATGTTGTAATCGAAAATGTGAGATGTTATAGCCATTTTTGGAAAACACAGTCTGCCAAAGTACCTAACACACAGTTACAGTGCATAACACAGGACAGCTAAAAAGCATACCCCATTTTGCAGATGAGGAAATTGAGACTGAGAGAGACCCCCTTGTCTGAGGTCTCATGTCTGATTAGAAGGAATAAAACCCAGTTCTGACTCCTAGTCTACATTGGCAGAGCCTCTCCAAGTTATTTCTTGCTTGACATTTTTGCTGTTGTGACTAAGAATCATGCTGATTGTTTTATCTTTCCAGATCTTCAAGGTAGGAATGATTCTCTTCATTCGAGTGTTTTGCATAAGTTGTTCAATACTATCTCCCTATAACTTGCCATTTTATTGAGTTATGCTATATGTCTGTGGCTGAAGGTTTTGATCTTCATCTAGATATATACTGAGTCCCTCTTGTAAAAGCACTATGGTAATGGGAGAAAATGACACAATTTCCGTGTAATTTGCCTCAAAAGTTTTAGGAATAACAACCACGTTGTACTTGTGTGTTCTTATTCTGTTTGATTACCCAAATATTTCATTTTACTTGTATATAAAACAGTTATGTGTCCCCACCCTTCTCCTTGGTAAGCACCCGCAAGATATAGGAAGTAAATACAGTCAACCTCTGGCTTCTGACTATAGCTTTGAAGACAACCAACTTGACCTATTCAGTTCTACCTCTCTACTATCCAAATTCTGGCCTTGGATTGTGTCAAGCTGAAGAAGAGAGAGGCCACAATTAATTGCATCTTGCTTTCAGTAGTTCCCCTATTACCTGGTGATCCTAAAAAGAGCAGTGACATGCTCTGATGTTCTGTCAGAATTAAAATTAAAATCCAGATGCTATAATCTTTCTCTGTTTTTCTTGGTTTCAGGTTAAACTTCCTTTTCCTGTAGATCAAATCACAGATCTTCCAAGGAACGATTTCCAGATGATGATTAAGATGCACAAGCTAACCTCAGAACAGTTAGAGTTCATTCACGACGTCCGGCGGCGCAGCAAGAACCGCATCGCAGCTCAGCGCTGCCGCAAGAGGAAACTGGACTGTATTCAGAACTTAGAATGTGAAATCCGCAAATTGGTGAGTTGACCCATCAGTTTGTGTTCAGAAACCGAAGTGCCCAGGACTGATGTAAATTTATAGGAGTGATGACTGGAGAAATAGAGAGAAGGGGCACCCTTTGGGGAATTGGATTTATTTTTAAGGAAATTTCTCAACAGAAATTTTGCATTGTGTGTGGGTGTGTAGGTGTGGAATCATGTGTCATACCCTTCAGTCATCCATATAGAATTTTTTAATTTTCCATTTGATATGTAATAATAGCAGATATTTATTACGTGCACTAGTGGACTAGGTATTCTTCTAAACTATTTTTGTGGATGATCACATTTAATCTACACTATGACTTAGATACTATTTTATCCCCATTTATAGAGGAGGAAACTATGATGCAGAAAGATTAGGTAAATTTCCTTGAATGAAAACCTAGATGTCTGATTCCAAATGGTGTTATTTTACCACTGCTTTCTCTGCCTCCCAGCAGAAAAGTATAGATGAGAGATAGGACATCTACCTACAGAGAAGCAGTTGCTTAGTGAGATGATCTAGCACCCTTTGCAGCCCCAGGTCCTTGATTTTGCAATTCTTCTAAAAGTGGCTGCCATCTCTTCCCTGTGCCTGAAAATGTTTTATCTCAGGAAACAAATTCCCATCTCCCAGGCTCCTCCATGCTCAGAGTTATGTGTCCCCACCCTTCTCCTTGGTAAGCACCCGCAAGATATAGGAAGTAAATACAGTCAACCTCTGGCTTCTGACTATAGCTTTGAAGACAACCAACTTGACCTATTCAGTTCTACCTCTCTACTATCCAAATTCTGGCCTTGGATTGTGTCAAGCTGAAGAAGAGAGAGGCCATATAATGTGGTCAAGATCTAAGTTTAGGTTCTCAGGCTATTTGCAGCAAATTCATTGCCTCATGAGCAATGATGAGATATTGGGAAGGCCCAAGGAAGTATTGTATAATTTATTATTAAGATAACCTTGGGGGACTGTAGCTCAGTGGTATAGTGTTTGCCTAGCACATGTGAGGCATTGGGTTCGGTCCTCAGCACCACATAAAAATAAATAAATAAAATAAAGTTGTTAAAAAAAATTAAGAAAAGATAACCTTGGACTTCAGGGGTTTGCTGTTGTTCTTGTTCTTGTTCTTGTTTTGACATGAAACAGGGAAAATCTGCCCATGGTCAGTAGATCCCATCACTTGCAAAGTAAAGCCAAAGCTCCTTAGAAAGGTCAATCCTTGCTAAGGAGCAATCCTAGTGGGAGGCTGGATAACAGGTACCAAAATAAATTGCAATGTTCTACAACTACAGAACTATAGTTCATAACAATTTATTATTTATCTTATAAAGAACTGGAAAAGAGGAGCTCAAAGTTTCCCCCAAAAAAAGAAATTAAAAGTGGTTAAGGAAAGAGAAATTCAGGCTAATTAGCCTGAATTGATCATTCACATTGTATTCCTATGTTGAATTAGCACATTGTACACCATAAATATGCACATTTTTAAAGACATACCCTGCCCTCCATGATTCAGTTTCTAAACTGTCCCTCTGACATCTCCTTTCACTGCCTTCTTAGGATTCAACCCCTAATGATATCAAACTGTCCATATTTAACCCACATCTCCTGCTGTTTTATACTTCTGCATTCATACCTACTGACTCCCCTCTACCCTGGACATTCCTCTACTTCTTCCTTCTCAAATTATCTCCCTTGTGCTTTAAGAATCAGGTCAACTCTTCAGGAAGTCTGCCTCTGCTGAGTCTCCAGTTAGACTGAGACCTTGCCCTGGGAGCCCTGATCTGCCCTCTCATTTAGTGCTTATCATTCATTCTTAGATTATTTGTGCATGTGTCCCCGCCAACGCCAACCCTAGACTGTAAGTTCCTCAAGGACAAGACAGTGTCTTGATCATCTCTGAATCACCAGCATTGGCCCACTGTTGGCTTTTAAGAACTTACTGGAAGTTGTGACAATTTAGGTCAGAAGATTACAAATTTTTTTGTTTTCCAAATTTTTCCTTAGTGTTTTCTGTTTGTTTGATTTATGTGTGTGTGTGGGGGGGGAGGTGTTTTGTTCTTTACAGTGCTAGGACTCAAACCCAGTGCCTTGAATACGTTAGGCAAGAGCTTTACCACTGAGTTATGTCCCCAGCTCCCATTGTTTTAACACAAAACATAACTTAAACCACATAAGGAAGCAGGGTGTTCCTGCTGGTGATTGTGGATCTTCTGAAAGCCTGGTGGGCTTAGATCACCAAGACAACCAGGTACAAGTCTACAGGGTCACATCTCTATAGTAATTCTTGCTCTGCCCCTCTCATCAGGTGGTAGAGAAAAAAATAATCCTGATTTTAATAACATTCTGCTGTTATAATTGTGTAATACTGAACAAATAACAAAATCTGAGAAACTATATAGCAGATATCTAAAGATGAAAACTATATAGGCAAATATCCACCTTTGCTGGTATTGTTCGGTGGAAAAACCAAGAACTCCTAGTTTCTGCACCACTTTCTGTCGACCACTTAAATACTATGCTGTGTTCCAGTGCTAAGAGTGCCACACGCTCATCAATCTGTGTCTGTGATTTAGAACTTATGTTTTTACCCAAGGCGTGACTCATGCTGCCTTTCCTGCAGAGCCAAAACTCTCACAAGGGGCACCTCATCTTCTTTCCCCTAGAAAGTGGCCCAGACATTTTTCACAAGTGGTGTGTGCCTTGGCCACGCTGCTGTGGCAGAATTGAGACTGAGATTCCTTTCCTGGTGGCTGGGAGTTGCTGCCCCTTCCTTTGCAGGTTTCTAGGTTCAAAGGAGAGGGAGGGGTCCAGGTGACCCATCATGCATACAAGACTCTCTTTGAGACCAAGAGAACTCCCTTGTTGATTTATTTCTTATACAGGGTCCTCCACTCATTTGCCTGACCCAGTGACAGAGATGGCCTGGGCAGGCAGGACAGCTTCCATCCCCGCCCCACTCACCCTGCACAGTCCGCAGCAGGCCCCACACTCACTTCCCACACCCACACCGTCTCCCACACACCCGCCACTCCACTTCTGCAAACTCGCATAATGTATTTCTCTCGAGTTGCACTTGTACATCTGTTTATTTTTCATTTTTAAAACATGTTTTCTTGATAAATTTATAAATATTTTAGCAGGTGCCCTTTCCCCATGTAAATCTCTCTCTCCGACACACATGCCCACGCTGCCTGCCAGATTGTATTCTTGTTACGGCACGTGCAGCTACCACATCGGAGACTTGCTCCTTGTGCATGCGATGCCTGCTTCTCTCTCCCTCCTCTTCATTTCCCTCCCTTCCTCCCTTGCCCTTCCCACCCGCACCAGCAGAGGGCTGGCCAGGAATCCCTTCACACTGCCTCAGGCGCCTGGTTTCCTCATCCACTTCATTATGTGCAACGCATGGACCTCGCACAAACACCGATGGTAAAACCTTAATTAGTCTCCTCTCTGGTGCTACACTCATCTCTCAGAGGAGGTGATAAATTTTAGTAACAGAAGCGCGTATGTGGGATTTGACTTAAGGAGAAAAACATCTCAGAATCGTGGGCTAGTATGTCAGGACTCAGGCTCCACGTTTCTGTCTTCCTGTCCTGCGTCCAGGGTCCCAAAAAGGGAACTGTTGTATTCTGTCTGCTGTGATACAAAGGCCAAAGAGCCTGCAGGTGTTAGGTTGAACCACATGAAATTGCTGATAGTTGAATTTATTTTTTTGTAAGTAGACTTACTTCTTCAGGGTAGTTTTAGTTTTACAAAAAAATAGAATGGAATATTCAGAGTTTCCAGTTGCCCCCCGATCCTACACACTCACAGCCTCCCCACTGCCAACATGCCCTCCAGAGTGGCACATTTGCTATAATCTACATGGAACATCTTTGTCACTCGAAGTCCTTACTTTACACTAGTGTTCACACTTGGTTTGTACATTCTGTGGTGCATTTTGACAAATATATAAAAGACTATATATAGAAAGAAATATATAGATTTTTTTGTGTATATATATATATATATATATATATTCACCCCTATAGTATCATACAGATTAGATTCATTGACCTAAAATTGTCTCTGCTCCACTTATTCATTTATTCCTTACTCTGGTAACCGCTGATAAGCTTTTAACTATCTTCATAGCTTTGCCATTTTCAGAATGTCAGATAGCTAGAATTGGTCAGCTTTTGCCTCTTAAAATGGCATCCCAATACAGTAGAGGGAGATTTTTAACTATAAGGTTTGGGACTAAGAGTTTTCCAGTTGATGTTCTACAAACCTCAAATTCCAGGAAACTGGGACATTGACTTCCTGCTGTTTTCCGGTTGGTGGTGATTTTGCTGGTCCTTGCCTGGGTCTCAGAGAGAAGGCATGAAGAGACACCATAGGGAACGTATCCATGGCAGCAGACATGGCCAAGCTGTGTGTCCAGGCTCCCTGGACATGTGTAATTTTTAAGTGTCTGACCCTGACCTCATTGTTCATGAGATGTGTTATGACGTATGGTATATAAAAATAAATGTTCGAAAACCTGCTGAAATGAGGTCTTGTGCCCTCAGTTTCAGGATTGATCAAGCCTTCTCTTTTTTCCTCTATTGTCCAGGTATGTGAGAAAGAAAAACTGTTGTCGGAGAGGAATCAACTGAAAGCATGCATGGGGGAACTGTTAGACAACTTCTCCTGCCTCTCCCAGGAAGTCTGCCGAGACATCCAGAGTCCCGAGCAGATCCAGGCCCTGCACCGGTATTGCCCTGTCCTCATCCCCATGGATCTCCCTGGAGCCTCCAGTATTAACCCCACTCCCTTGGGTGTTGAGCAGAACCTTGCAGCCTCCCAGTGTGTGGTGGGGGAAAGTGTGCCCTGCTGCTTGGAGCCAGGTGCGGCTCCCCCCGGGCCCCCTTGGGTCCCCAGCAACGCCTCTGAGAATTGTACCTCTGGGAGGAGGTTGGAAGGTACTGACCCAGGAACCTTCTCTGAGAGAGGACCTCCTCTTGAACCCAGGAGCCAGTCAGTGACCGTGGACTTCTGCCAGGAAATGACTGACAAGTGTACGACTGATGAACAGCCCAGGAAAGATTACACCTAGTGACTCGGATCTGCCTCCCAGTCCTCACACCTCTCCCATCCAGGTGTTCTTCAGTCAGCCTATGGCACTGTTCATCTGTTGTCTTGAAGAACCAAGAATGAATTTGGTGCACACTACAGTGGTCTTAGCAGCAATACTGTTCTGAAGTATTCCCTCCTCTCTTCAAGCAGGAGTGACAGAGTTACCTTCACAATGGTGCTACCCCTTGCTCAGGCAAGGAAAGACAACAGTGCGACACTGTCTGTCTGTGGGTTAATTTCAGTCTTCACAGGGATAGACTACAACACCTCGAGGACCCAACCACGGATTTTTTTTCTCAGTGGCCCATGTCACAAACCCTATCTCAGGAATTTCTTCTGAATGTTCAATTTTTTTCATTGAAGACAGCTTCTATACACATCAAAATTTTATAGCTAGACTGTACATATTATATATAATATATATAAAGTATATATATATATATATCCATATGCAAAAGTCCTGCATGCCTCAATTTTCTCAAAACTGGAAACTTCATTTCTCATTTATAAACAGGTTCCAACATTCCTCTTCTTTTGTCTCTGATGCTTAAAACCAGTTTGGTAACTGTTAACATTTTTCTTGCTTCACAGTTCAATTTCAATTTGTGCTTATTTATGGATAAAATTCAATGTTGGAAGCTTTTCAAGGTTTTATTTTAGACCCTTATTTTGTTTGTTTAGTTTGGTTTGGGCACCGCCAGGTGGTGTCTTGTGAGCATCGTGGGTTTGTTCTCCGTTTTTGTTTTGTTTTGTTTTGTTTTGTTTTTCCTTGCAGATACTGTACAGTAATGGTCAACTTTGCCACTTGCACTGAGTCTTGGGTCAAACCTATTTTCTTAAATGAAGTTGTAACTTCAGTATAACTCAAGTATACTGTATATTCTTTGCTTTTAGTTTAAAAAGTAAAACATTTTAGCTAATTTAAAAAAGCACTCAGGTGATAATTATGTAGGAAAAACAATCTTGCCAAATAATGAATTCATCCTAGGATGTTTAGACAATAATCTGCTTGAATATTTTTATATTTCACCTCGTCCCCACCTTTCCCTAAGTAAAGTTTAACTGCAGATAAAAGAGTTCAGAGTTGATGCTGGATGTTCAGATTCCTGGGTGGGGAGAGAGTTTGGACATCTCACTCAAAATTGCATCAAAGTAGCAGGAATCTATGATTTCGCACCAGAACTCAGCAGGCAAAGGCTCCTAGAAATCAAGCTAGAACTGTTTTCTTTCCCAGGGAGTAGGCTCATCCATTTCAGCACTTCATTAGCTTGCTCTTGGAAGTGTTATGCAGTAGGACCTTCTCCTTTGAAGGACCAACCATCGGCTTTCCTGCCTGGGATTGGTCTCCCAGGACATCTCCCCTGAGGGAATTTGAGTCGCAGCCTGAGGGTCCTGTTTAAGAGGCAGCTCCCTGAAAGTAGGAGAGAGCATGGCAGACTCAAGCCTGAGATCCATCCCTGATGCGGACTAACACATTTCTTCTCCTTTCCTTCTCCTAATGCTAAGTTGTATTCTGAAGCTTTTTGCCAGTCTCCTGTCTGAAGGCAGCTTCATTCAGAGGCTTTGGAGGAGACATCACCAGGAGTCCTCTCTGCCCCTCTTCCCAAACACACACACATACATACACCCTACCCTCACCTGATGATCATTTTCTTCTCTTGCTGCAAAACTGGTTGGCTTGCAACCCAGAGAGAGCAGCTTCCCTTGGCTCTGGAGGCATCCTGGCCCCTGGCCATGTTTACAGGAAGGTGTGCCCCAAGGAAGAGGAATCAGCTCCCTCCTTCCAGTGGTCCCATCTCCTCTCACTAAGCAGCCTGAAGGTCACTTCAGCCTGGCTGTAAAAGAGAGTCCAGAACAGTTTGATGTGGGAATGGGGTGGTGGGCAGTGGGAATAGATGGTTGACTTTGTTTCTTTTTTGTGCCATTGTTTGGACAATATTAAAGCTGCATGTAAAAGGAGAAATTAGTATATGATTAGTAGGCGAAAAGTGAAATCATAGTAACATATGTTTTAGTATTAACTTTTTTCTGTACAAATATTAGCACTAAATGTTTAAATATGTATGAATGCCAGAAATTTGTTGGTTCATGCAGTAGGATTTAAAAAAAAAAAAAAGGCTTTTCTTTTAAAATAGTTCCACTTTTGAAACCTGCCTCTGGATTTTCGTTTCTCCGTGTGTGTGTGTGTGTGTGTGTGTGTGTGTGTGTGTGTATACGCACACACAAACTTGTCAAAGACAGATTTTAATAGAGCTCTGTGTTGGAGCTACTGTCTTTTGTTACAGTTGTTGGAATTTCTCAGCCTCGTAGAACAGCTCTGTGCTTCACCGGGAGGTTTGCCTTTGTGGAAAACTGGTGACAGCTAGAATTTTAACTCAATGTGAATCATGTGACACTTCACAGGTGTGTGTTATGGTGCAAGAGTCAGCAGACAGTATTTTTTTTTTAACTCTCCCATTGCCTTTTTAAGTGACCTCTCCTCTTCTTTTAAAAAAGGAATGTCTTCTGCTCATAACTAACCAGGTGCAGACCAGCTTCTTTGCTTGATTTACCCTGGTAACAACTCATGTGCAACTGGTAGTCTTGACCACATTCCATCTGTTTCCCCAGGTTTCTGTTGTTCAGTAGCCCAGACCTGAGTGGCAGCCATTTCCGGGAGGGGAGGGGTCTCTTTTTCTCTTCACCCTAACTCAACCTTCATTTCCCTCCCATCAGCCTCGGCCTCACATTTCTTCCTCTTCCCCTACCCAACCTCTGCCATGGGAACTGGCTTTTAAAAAAATGTTTAAAAAAACAGTCATTCTACTTCTTAAGTATTTTTAACTAGTTATTTCATTCATTAGCCACAACAAACAGTGACTGATTTTATGTAATTGTTCATGTGATAGTCTGTGTCTTTTGCTATTCTGAATCATTGTTTGTCAGAAATATTTCTGTCTCAATTCAAAGGGAGGTCTTGCTGGGGACCAGAATCCAAATTGCCTCAAAGTGGAATTGAAAAACCCAGTCTGTCTTCTTTATCTGGGATCCCTTAGTCAACCTCATGCCTTTTATTAAAAGGAAAAGCAAGTGAACAGCAAAGAATAAATGTTTGCACAACAAGGTAACATTTTTAAGAGTTCTTCCTTACAAAAATAAAGAACACTCCAATAGTGGGCTCTTTGGGAGGATCTCTGTGACAGCCTGGTTGCATTTCCAGATGGTCAGGATAGGAATGGATTGTGGTGGTAGGGCCAGTGCAGGTGACCCCAAGACTATTTAACATCCCACCTAAATCTAGTCCTCTCTGGGGATCCATCTTTGTCCTATTTGTGTCTCCAGACCACCTCCCTTCATTCAGGTTGGTCAGGCTTTGGGCAGGTGAGTGCTTTGCTATATGTCTTTGTTTCTCTGCGTTATCTGGGGGTGCCTTGAATAAAATCAAACTTCATTACATACTGATTCTGGAACAAAAATGGTTTTTAAAACTTTTTAAAAGAAAAGAAAAAGCTGGCAAAGTTACTAGGCCATCCTGCTACTTCTCTTCCGAGTTCCCATAACGATGACTCAGGCGTCAGAGGTGATGCTGCAGTAGAAAATGTTATTTTGTATGTTGTACAAAGTAATTTATTGACTGTCTTTCTAAAAGTATGCTGCTTTTTAAGATGCACTATAATTTTGGATTTAATCCTTGTATAGCTTTTCCAAGGAAGTAAAAAAAAAAAAAAAAAAAAGGCTAGTGACTAGTATGCCAACTGCCACTTCTCCTTAAAAAGGAGCTCGGGGACCAAGCTACAGGACTTTCATGAGAGGACTGGCTAAAACCTACATATTCTCTTTTAATGTTTATGATTGCCATTAAAGAAGAGAGAAGAAGGAGAAGCAGCAACAACAAACATGGATTTGAAAATCGTAAGCCTTTAAGAAACCTCAAAGTCCTGCCCCAGGAAGCTGCTCTGCATCCAATGGAGTAGTATTTTCCTCTCAAAATGAGTCAAAGCCTGCAAAGCTTTCTATAGAACATAGCAAACTGCTTCTATACACCATGCCCCATTTAAACTAGGAGCTGTTTTATAAGTGACTTCAAACTGCTCCGCTATTGCTTACAGTTCAGGAGGACTCTTCAGATCTGGAAAGATCTGGGTAAAAATTAAGTTTTGTCCTCGAATCATGGGAAAACAGACTAGAGATCCAGATTTTCTTTAAAGAAGAAAGCTATTCACTGTATCATGAGTTAGTGTTTCTTCCCAAATTCGGGATCTTCTTGTAGGTCCAATTTTTGGCAAGTCAGTTGAGATGCCCTGTGTCAAGTTGGTATTCATAAAGGAAATCTGTGTGCATGGAGGCATTTTGTGTCCAAAGTGTATGTTTTAATACTGCCCGAGCCATCTAATGACCCAAGCATCCAAGACTGATGCTGTAGAATAGAATATATTTGTACACAAATAGCGTGTGCAAATAGTATTTGTATATAGAAAAGTCTTCTTGTGGCAGATTGAGGATAAATTATTCAACCGATGGTGCAAAAACATTACTTGCAAAGAGAAGTAAGTGTATAGTATTTTCTTACACTCCACTCTGGGTCATAATTATTTATATCAAATGAATATCAGTACATTTTAATCGTAGTATGAAAATGATGCTGCCATTTTGTGAAGAATACCCACTTGGTTGCAAAGGCCAACTTTTGTAGCTTTGATTTAATGTTGTGACATGGTGTGTGCATTTCACTATTAAGCAATGAACAAACAACTCTGACTTTCATTTTCATTCCAGTTTATTGACCTCAGATAAAACAGTGGCCCTTGGTAGAAGCAGAAGTGCACCAAGACCATTAATTTCAGGTAGACTCACATTCAGTGCCAAATGCTCCCATGGGGATAATCGAACATGGATATCAGGAAAGAGTGAAGGGACTTGGACAAAGAGAGCTTTTCCTATGTTTGATGCTAAGTCTTCTACCAAAACATGTCTGGAGGCAGAACAGTGCATTTTGTGTGTGCAAATGCTAGAATGTCCATTCATACTCTGACAAAAGAACATGGCACTTCTAGTGAGTTATCAGGAAGATGGCAAATGCATTTGGGAGCTTCGGGTGCTTGTTAGACACAGTGAGCCAATCAAGGCAAGAGGGCCTGTGAGAATTTGTTCCAGAACCAGTCTGATGCAAGTGCACCTCTAATATATGCCTTACAAACTCCAGAGGCCATATTCAAAACAGGGTCTTCTCAGCGTATGCAAGGGGCTGCAGCCCCTCTTCCCTTCCCCCCAGGTCGAACAATACGGACAGTTTTCACACATATCTACCTGTATAACCCTCTGTACCTCTCATAACTGGTCAACGACTGTAACAGGTTACATCAGGTGTTTTTCTACATACTTTTTACACAGATTCTATGCGATTAATGTAACTTAATTCAATGCATCATTTTATTGTACTAGTTCTTAGGCTTGTCCTTATTTTTGTTTTCTAAGTGATTGTGGTTTTTCTTGTGGTTTTTATTGTAAAGATGAAATGGCGGTTGATGCTTATTATCTGTAACTAAGAATTTTTACCTTTTTGGGGAAAACATTGTTATGAACTAATGAATTGAAACTTCATTTACTCATTGTAAATACACTATTGTGCAAAAAAAAAATTCACTCAGTTGAATTGCTAGTGTTAACTGAATTTTGTCTAGACACCATTTCTGTTGATGAAATAAAGACATATCATTATGCATTGTAAACTGCTTTTTTTTTTGCCTCTGATTCCATGTTTTATAGATTACAGAGTGGGAAGCCTCTAGAAATATTTTCTTTTTAAGAGGACATTTTTCTTCTTCTAGTTTGGACCTTTCCCTACTACCTGATTAATCTGATTAGAAATCTTAAAAATTTTATAATGCTAATGTAATTCTTAAACTCTGAATTTTAAAAATCCTTAGTGCTTATTAGAGTAGATAAAAAGCATTAAACCCAATTTCCTGGTTTTGATATTGTACTGTAGTTATGCAAAATCTTACTATTGGGAAAACTACATGAAGGGTATTATTTCCTTCAGATATATGTGAGTCTAAAATTATATCAAAATAAAATATTTGCTTTATAGAACAAACAAAAAATAAAACTAAGCTGAGCATGGTAGTACACACCTGTAGTCCCAGGTACTTGGGAGGCTATTGTGGGAGCATCACTTGAGTCCACAAATTCAAGAGCAAACTGGGCAAGAAAATGAGACCCTATCTCAAAAAACTTTTAAAAATAACAATAATAAACATAAAAAACCCTAAAACTAAATGAAAGTGAATGGGAGAGGGCATTAAACCAACATAACAATTCAATAAGTCTCAAGGACAGAAGTTTAGAATTACAGGGAGTAAATATAGTTAAACAAGAAATGTGTATAGCTTGTGTCTTGGACTTTTATGTAAAGGGAAAACAAGATACTGCATTGTAGACATGCCAGATGTCCATGAGTAACACAGGACTCACACTTCGAGGTAAGAGAAGCCACTAGAAGAGAGGAGTAGCAATGTGGCTGGGCTGACAGCGAGGCTGTGAATAATGAATACACACAAGGTCCATCCAACTCAGTGCACGGAATCCAGGCCATATCTCATCTGCCAGATGGGAAAACTGAAATTGAAAGCTGCTGTACTCCACTCCTCTCCTTCAGTGATTACCCCAGTTACTTGGGAAGCTAATGCAAGAGCATCACTTGAGTCCACAAATTCAAGACCAACCTGAGCTAGAAAATGGTACCCTATCTCAAAAAATAAAAACCCTAAAACTAAATGAAAGTGAATTGGGGTGGGCATTAAACCAACATAACAATGCAATGAGTCTCAAGGACAGAAGTTTAAAATTACAGGTTCAGGCACCTACTGAGTCATGGAAGGCTTCCAGAGAACACTAGATTGTTTTGTTGTGAAAACATCAATGTCATACAAGAGTAGATCATTTTTGCCTGAAGCCATTAAGTTATTTAATCCAATCTTGGAAAATCAGTAGGGTTACAATAGCAAATTTTTCTGTAGACAAACCTGGTAATTTAGAACTGTGATCATTTGCAACTTCAACCTTAACATTTGCTTCTGTAGCAGGAGTGATAGTTGTTGTGTAAAAAGGAATAAACCTCACCAGCTTTTCTATTCTGGAGAAAGGAAGCATGTGAAGACTTTCCAGCCCCAGATGGGTAGCAGTCATTTTCTTCCCTACTATGAATAAGGGAAGAAAATGACTTCCCTGTAAGTCATTTGTATCTACTCTGGCCATAGTGAGGACTGGCTCCCTCCTCATCAGGACAGTTGCTTTATTGTATGTATTTGGAAATAACTTGAGTTGTTCTTTGAAATTGCTTTGGAATTTTTTACTCTTCTTTAACCCACTCACAAGCCTTCAGCTGAGACACATTAACAAGTTTATATATGATGTGTATTTAACACCATCTGGTGATGGTGTCCTGAACAGGGGGAATGGGTTCCTAGTTCTCCCCATTGAGCACCTTTGCCTTCCTAATACAAATTAATATGGTACTTTCTGGTGTCAAATAATGAAGGCCCAGAGAGCTAAAGAAAAGCACACAACTCATTATGCAAGTGCTTTCTTTTCATTTCATTCAAGAACATGACACCTCCTGTCCATACACACACCTGGGGCTCCTGCAGATCCTGACACACGCCTCCACTGGCTTGCCTGGTCAACCAGAAAGAGACACTGTTGGTTCTCCATGGCTAGTTTTTACACCTACCTCTTGAAGACAAGTACTCTTGAGGCAGCGACCCTCACTCTAAATCAATGGATGAAAACCTTCAGAGACACTGACGCTAGCAATCACTGGAAGCATTACATTTTACACTGAGTTCTTCAAACTATTTTTAACTTCTATTTATTTGTTCGGTATGGTTGACAACCCTGTAAAGACTTTTCAGGGTAAAGGATATTTAAATTACAAAAAAAGGAGGGGAAATGCTGCCAGACAGATTGTTTTGGGCATCTATACATACATATATTTCATTCAACCAACACTGCAAAATGCTAAATATCCAATATCAAAAATGTACAGGCCTTCTTCTTAAGAGTTTGCATAAACTAGTTGGGCAGAGAGATGTAGAAATAAATCATTTCCCAGGGGCAGGAGACTTAGGGACAGGAGAGCAGCTTATGGAGAACAGTAGGCACAGGAGCAAGTAGGCCTAGGTTTGGTCTCCAGCAGGCCCTTCAATTGGGTGACCTTTATCTATGCGGAAAGTACCTCATCTTTTGAACCTTGTTTGGTCTAAAAATGGGGATGAGCAATAAGAATTTTACACAGCTATGCAGGTTTAGATAATGTGCCATGAGTACCTGAAATACAATATGCACCTTAAAAGGCACATTTTTAAATTTGGTCCCACTGTCATTTCATCTGCCTGGTCTTCACTGGCTTGTCTACAAAGTCAGTGTCTGTAGAAGACTCTCTTTTCATAGCTCTACAAAACATAGAACAGAGAAGACCCAGGAGATATTTGAGCCAAAAGCACGAAACAACCCAGACAATATTAAGCTGCCTCTGCAACATCCCAGCTGCTGCCCAGCTTCTGTCTGAATACCCCCTATAGTGGAGAGCCCTATTTCTGATGGCTAGAAATTGCTTCTTGAAAATAAGATACACCTACTATACTTCCCTTTTGCAAAAAATAAAAATAAATAAAAATTATCATATACCAATAAATCACCATCAACCAAAAATGAATAGCACCTATTATTATAATTACAAGGCTGATATAAAGAAAGGCATCATGAGTGAAGGGTTGTCTAGAATGAGGGTTGGAACTGCCAGTATAAGAATGAATGAGTCCCGGGCCAGGTGTGGTGATATGTAACTGTAGGCCAGATGCTTGGGAGTCTAAGATGGGACAATCACTTGAGTCCTAAGTTCAAGACAAACCAAACTCAGTCCTCAAAAGGCTGTCCAGAAGTCCACTTCTATATAGGTAACAACAGGGAGGAGCAGGAGCACTATCAGCAGTCATGTTAGGCAGAGTATGTGATGTAGGAATGAGGTCAGAGGCAGAAGCCAGCACATGAATTTCCTCTGGATTTTATCTCACAGGATGTAGATGATGCAGAGCCCTATGACTTTGAACCAAACCGATTCTTCTTATAATTTGAAGCCTTTATTACAAGGTATGTGGCCAGAGTTTGAGAAAGTCTAGCCATGGGATGGAAGATGACGAGTTAAGTAATTCCCATGGGAACTAAGCCCACCTTAGCCTCAGAACTCAGACAAGTAACAAGTAACCAGCCAAGCAGCCTCATAGACCAGCTAGTTAGTGCACATCACATGGCCAACTGTGTCTGTCTACACTGTAAATGCTAAGTGCTTTGGGAGATAGTTTGGCTGGATGGCTCAGGACCACTGGCAGGGTAAAGAAGAGGTGCTGGCTTCTTCTACTAATCCTCAGGAAACCCATTTTGTGTGGACCACAGTCATGGCAGCACCACTGATGATGCATGGTCCCAGTGGAAAGATAGAATCAAATCATGCAATGTGAGTATTCACCAGTGTTTTAATCAATATTTTATTTTCATAGCATTTATGAACTAAAAATTCAGCTCGTTTATCCCAAGAAATGTACTGACAAGAGAAAGAGGATAAAAATTCGTCATCTACCTTCCTTTGCAGACAGGAAGCATATTTGAGCCCAGGCTGAACACAGAGCTCCAGGCTTGCTCTGGACCCATGTTCAAGGGACCAACTGCTGCTGCTGCAGAGCTAGATGCTCTCTCTGGTGTCCCACCAGACTGCTGGGGCTAGGAAAGAGAAACATATCCCAGATCTCCTCCTTAGGGCAACAGCAGCTCTTGCCCCTAGATTTCCCCTCATGGTGCACAATTCCTCTCTGCCTGGGCTTAGACCTGCTTCATACAGCATGCCCAGACAGAGGGATGAGAGGCTAGCTTCAGTCCCCATTGAGAAAGAGATCCTGGGGAGGTGAGTCCAGGTTTGGAGCACCCTGTTCACAGCCTGTCACCTACCAGGAGTCTCTGTGTGTGGGGGTGAGCTTTCTGTCCCTATATCAAATACTCATGGTAATCAACCTAGAAAGAGAAAAGGGTTATGTTAACTCACAGCCCTCTAGAAGTTTCAGCCTATGATTGGTTAGCCCCATTCCTTTTGGGCCTGGACAAGGTAGCATATCGTGGTGGGAATGTATCATAAAGCAAATTGTTCTCCTCATGTCCATATACAAAAGAAAAAGGAAGAGGCTGGGGCCCCACAATTCCCTTCAAGGGCACATCCTCAGTGATCTAAGACTTCCCACTAGCCCCACCTCTTAAAGGTCCCACCATCTCCCATTAGCACCAAGCTGGGGACCAAGCCTTAAACACATGGGTCTTTGAGAGGCATTTAAGATCCAGACTGTAACAGTACTGTGAGGAGGTGAATCCCAAAGTTTTTCCATAGTCTTGAGTTGACAAAGATGCAGCTTTATTCCACAGATACCAGCTGCTCTTGGTGCATTATTTTTTCATAATAGATGAAAGTTCTAGAAGCATATTCTGAAAGAGATAAGAAACCAAAAACAAATAAAATATATCCAAAAGGCTTGTAAAAATCTTCCCTGCCCACTCACCTGGACCTCTATGTCATAAATGCCAGGGACCCAAACAAAACATATTGCAGAGGATAACTCCCAGATGCTTGGAAGTCTAAGATGGGATAATCAGTTGAGCCCTAAGTTCAAGACAAGCCAAACTCAGT